GAGTGAACAGGAAATTGTTTTAATACTGTGATTGCTTATAACAGTGATGATCACTGTTGTAAGCAACAGTTTTAACTATCATGAAAGGCTTTCTTTCCTGACTGCTTGCTTACTATTGTGATGCTGTAATTGGCTACAGCTTATCACATGGTACAGGGTGCTGTGATTGGCCCATGTACCATGTGATAGTATGGACAATAGTGTTGCTTACATGTTATCAAGTGATCACTATGATTGGTCATAGTGATCACAAGCTACCCCTGCCACTCACAGCGGCTGGGTATTGAGCACTGTGATCCTCTGTGTCCACCAGACGTCGCAGTTCCTGGGGAAGCCGCCCACCAGCAGTAAATGTACTGTTGGTGGGCGGCAAGTGATTAAAGTGGTTATGAGGGCTGAAGGTTTTTTACCTTCATGCATTCCATGCCAGGGAGCCAATTAGGAGAGAGCAGAGGTAGGGCTGAGTCACGGCTCTATGTGTCTTATGTATGCATAGAGCAGGGCTCAGGAGCGAGCACGCACCAGTGCCTCCATACAAAGCGGCTTGCTATTGGGGACACTGGTTAAGGAGGAAGAGCCAGGAGAGCCGACAAGGAACCTGAGAAGAAGATTGGGGCTGATTTGTGTAAAACCACTGCACATAGCAGCTAAGTATGACATATTTATTATAAAAAAAAAACCAAAACTTTAATAATACTTTAATATATAAATAAGTATAATAGGCAGTGCCAACCAAAAATTCTTTGCTAGTTTCACCTTGTGCACTAAAGTAGGTAAATGCTGTTTTTGGAAAGCAAACATTCAATCTGCCAAGGGAGCAGTCTACACTCCTTGGTAAATTAGACCCAATGAATAGGTAGATTTAAGTTCAGTATCACCTAGACTGAGATTTTTCTGAAGCTGACCAGTTGGAAGAACCTGCTACGTATATTAAAAGCCAGGGACATAGGATATAGGAGCAGAAATTTGATAACAGTAGAACATGTAACATTTTAGGAAACAGTAAAAAAAAACAAAAAAAACCTTAGCAGCACAAAAATAAACATGCTGTAAAATTTCTCCTTTTTTAGGCATAAAGCAGACTACTAAAATTGGAATTCTGGTTTAAGTATTTTAGGCACCAGGTGGCACTAAAGCACCACTGGAAGAGGTTTTACACAATCCTTTGTCCTAGCTTTTGCGTTGACTCTTTTTAGAATTAAGATTTGATTTTGTATTTTAAAGCTGAAATAATAAAGGGAAAATCCTGCTGTTAAAAAAAGCCGCTTAATACATAAAATAAGCATTTTTTGCTTTATTTTAAAATTAAAGTCCAAAATAAGTATACACACGCGTCTGTCTATTTCCATCCTAACATTCCATCAGTTTTCAGTAATATAAATGTTCAAATGTTTCATTAAAACTAGACATTCACTAAACATTCACAGAGCTTTTTCTGTTACAGATAGACAGATGTCTATGTATGGGTTCCCAATACATCTTCAGGATCTCCATGTGATCCGGAGAAATTCTACAAAATATGCTCAGTGTAGTGTTCATGAGCACTTTTAAAGTTTATTTTTCAGAACAGCCATTGCTTGGATCTATCTATATTCCCCAGTTCTTTAGAGCCCCTTTACTATGAAATCTAAAATTCTCATCTTCTGTTTCTGCGTTATGTTTCTTGGGAGCTCAGCCTGTAAGCTGTATGACAGTATATCCAGTGACCTGTCCATAATGCAGTGCTGTTATATATACAGTAATGTTGGCCACCTAGCACTCTTCACTCTCAGATAAGCACAAAAGGCATAATCAGGTAGCTGCAATGCATTATGGGGGGGAGGGGGGTCAAGTGTTAGCAGGTGGCAAATGTAATTTTGAACCTACAGGCCTTTTACTGCTGAAACATAAATCTCACAAAGTTCAGCCCTTAAAGTGTTACTAAACCCACAGCAGTAAAATCAGTCTGTATATGCAGTAAAGCATGCTTTTGTTATACCCACTGTGGAACCTAAGGGGTTAATCCTCTGCATTGTGTAAAAGGATGTATGATCCTCCCCTTCTTCCACAGTCCCCAATCCATCTGCTGATAGAACAGAGCCTTGGGGGCAAGCTGCACATGCTCAGCTTGGTGTGTATTGCTAGAGAGTTTTTTTCTTTCTTGGGAGAGTGATAAGTACAGCACTGTTCAGACAGAGGGTCAGGGGTCATGCAGCCTCATAGGACAGTCAAAGCAGAATGGAAACTCCTCCTACAAGCTTTAACCAGTGCTCTCCTGGACACTGACAGAAGTCACAAGACTGCTCTAACTGCTGATGAGAAAAGGTATTTGGCAGTTTACATTTACTAAAATAATTGCATTTCCATGCTCTGTTTTCTGTGTGAACCTACATATAGTGAATGCAGGGTCATTGGTTTAGTAACCCTTTAACTAAAGTGCCAATTAAAACCCCACCCCAGATAATAAACATAAATGCTAATGAAAAAAACAGCTAATTGCAAAAATAAATAAATGAATCATTAGTTAATACAAATCACAATTACAATTTAATACAAATTAAGTGGTTGTAAAGGATCAAATTTTATAAAAAGCACTGACACAGTACTAATGACACTGGGCAGGAAGGGTTTAACATCTGAGGCGATCAAAGGATTCACTGTGTGCTGTGTGTGTTTTACTAGGGAAACATGCTGCTCTATATTCCTCTGCTGTGCAGAGAAATACACAGCAGCATGTTCTTGCTGGAAGGAGAGAGACCTGTGTTGTTTACACACAGCTCTCTCCCCTGTTAGTTTTACTCGTCAATCGCCAGGTGCCGGGGCGTGAATGACATCCGTAGCCGCCAACCGTATTTTGCACAGCCCTGACGCCCTGTAGCAGTACTTCTACTATAGGGCGGCGGGCAAGCGTTAACAGGTTCTTTGCCTGTTTCAGTAACTTTTAGCACACTCCAAAGACATGCTTGTAGGTATGTGTATGTATGAATGTGAGTTAGGGACCTTAGACTCCATGAGGGTACTGATGTGAATGTAACAGTATGTAAAGTGCTACATGAATCGTTGGTGCTATTTACAGTGAGGAACAAAAGTATTTTGAACACCCTGCCATTTTGCAAGTTCTCCCACTTAGAAATCATGGAGGGGTCTGAAATTCACATTGTAGGTGCATTCCCACTCTGAGAGACAGATTTAAAAAAAAATTCAGGAAATCACATTGTATGATTTTTAAAGAATTTATTTGTCTTGCACTGCTGAACATAAAGTATTTGAACACCTAAGAAACAGCAAGAATTCTGGCTCTCAAAGACCTGTTACTGTGCCTTTAAAAAGTCCACCTCTACTCCACTCATTAATCTAACTTAGTAGCACCTGTCTGAGCTCTTTAAAGACACCTGTCCACCCCACAGTCAGTCAGACGCCAACTACTACCATGGGCAAGACCAAAGAGCTGTCAAAAGACACCAGAGACAAAATTATGGACCTCCACAAGGCTGAAAAGGGTACGGGGCAATTGCCAAGCAGCTTGGTGAAAATAGATCAACTGTGGAGCAAGTGTTAGAAAATGGAAGAGGCTAAAGACGACTGCCGGTCAGAGGTATGTGACTGACACAGGGAAACGCAGGCTTCAGATAAGTTATAAACAATATAATTTATTAAAGACTAACAATACAAACATAAACGCAGTGCAATACTAAAACATAACACAGTGCAAACGAACCAAACCACCCACAGATAACAGTACATACAATGCAAGCGTCGTCAGGCAGGCCGGGTCAATAACAATCGGGGCAGGTAGGTACAGGGGTCAGGTCAGGCAGAGAATGGTCGGGGTCACAAGCCAGGGATGAAACAGGAGAAGTCAGCAGAGGTCCGGATCAGGCAGGGTCAGCAACGAATCAGACAGAGACAGGAACAGGAACAGGAACAGGAATGCAGGAACAAGATACAGGGCCCAGGAAAAACACACACCAAGGCCGAGACTGCAGGTCTGGCCATCCCTTAAATACACCTGTATAATCAACTTCAGGTGTTTGGCTGGCTGCACGGTTGAGTCTCTGATTGCTGGGAGCACTCGCTGGCCAGCCCTGGTACTGCAGCCCACAAGGCAGGTGAGTCCCACCACTACTGGCAAGTCCATTCCTGACAGTACCCACCCCCCCCTCAAGGAGCGGCCTCAGGACGCTCCAAGCAGTCCTAGCTGGGCAAAATGTTCCACCGCCCGGGTCTGGTAACTGGCGGGATATCAAAGACTGGCACATCGGGCAGGACTCCGGGCAGTGGCACACCGGGCAGGACTCCGGGCAGCGGCACACCGGGCAGGACTACGGGCAGCGGCACATCGGGCAGCGGCACATCGGGCAGGACTCCGGGCAGCGGCACATCGGGCAGGACTCCGGGCAGCGGCACATCGAGCTGGACTCCGGGCAGAGGCACATCGGGCAGGACTCCGGGGCAGCGGCACATCGGGCAGGACTCCGGGCAGCGGCACATCGAGCTGGACACCGGATCACCAGGCGGAGCAGCGGGCACCGGCCACCAGGCGGAGCAGCGGGCACCGGGCCACCAGGAGGGGCGACAGGCATCGGGCCCCAAGGCGGAGCGACAGGCATCGGGCCCCCAGGCGGGGCGGCGGGCGCCGGGCCCCCAGGCAGGCGGCGGGCGCCAGGCCCCCCGGGAGGAGTCATGAAGGCGGAGTGGCGGGCCCCCAGGCGGGGCCACAGGCATCGGGCCCCCAGCGGGGGCGACAGGCATCGGGCCCCCAGGCGGGGCGCGGCGGGCGCCGGGCCCCCAGGCGGAGCGGCGGGTGCCGGGCCCCCAGGCGGAGCGGCGGGCGCCGGGCCCCCAAGAGGGGCGACGGGCATCGGGCCCCCAGGCGGAGCGACGGGGGCATCGGGCCCCCAGGCGGAGCGACGGGCGCCGGGCCCCCAGGCGGAGCGACGGGCGCCGGGCCCCCCAGGCGGAGCGGCGGGCGCCGGGCCCCCCAGCGGCGGAGCGACAGGCACCGGGCCCCCAGGAGGGGTGGCAGGCACCGGGCCCCCAGGAGGAGCGACGGGCGCCGGGCCCCCAGGAGGAGCGGCGAGGGCGCCGGGTCATCAGGCACGACAACGGGCATCGGGTCACCAGGCATCAGGACATTTGGCTCGCCAGCGGGCACCGCGTCATCTGGCAAGGCAGTGGGCACCGAGTCACCAGGCACGACAGTGGGTTCCGAGTCAACTGGCATGACCACGGGCACTGGGTCAGACATTGGATTGTCTGGCTCGACAGCGGGCATCGGGTCACCAGGCATCAGGTCATTTGGCTCGACAGCGGGCACCGGGTCATCTGGCAAGGCAGTGGGCACCGAGACACCAGGCACGACAGTGGGTTCCGAGTCAAACTGGCATGACCACGGGCACTGGGTCAGACATTGGATCGTCTGGCTCGACAGCGGGCATCGGGTCACCAGGCATCAGGTCATTTGGCTCGACGGCAGGGCACCGCGTCATTTCTGGCAAGGCAGTGGGCACCGAGTCACCAGGCACGACAGTGGGCTCTGAGTCAATTGGCACGACAACGGGCACCGGGTCATCAGGTACCGGATCGTCTGGATCGACAGCGGGCACCGGGTCATCTGGCGTTGGATCGTCTGGCTCGACAGCGGGCATCGGGTCACCAGGCATGACAGTGGGCACCGAGTCACCAGGCACGACAGTGGGTTCCGAGTCAACTGGCATGACCACGGGCACTGGGTCAGACATTGGATCGTCTGGCCCAACAGCGGGCATCGGGTCACCAGGCATGACAGCGGGCACTGGGTCATCAGGCATGGGATTGTCTGGCTCGACAGCGGGCATCGGGTCACCAGGTATGGCAGCGGGCACTGGGTCACCAGGCATCAGGTCATTTGGCTCGCCAGCGGGCACCACGTCATCTGGCAAGGCAGTGGGCACCGAGTCACCAGGCACGACAGTGGGGTTCCGAGTCAACTGGCATGACCACGGGCACTGGGTCAGACATTGGATCGTCTGGCCCGACAGCGGGCATCGGGTCACCAGGCATGACAGCGGGCACTGGGTCATCAGGCATGGGATTGTCTGGCTCGACAGCGGGCATCGGGTCACCAGGTATGGCAGCGGGCACTGGGTCACCAGGCATAAGGTCATTTGGCTCGCCAGCGGGCACCGCGTCATCTGGCAAGGCAGTGGGCACCGAGTCACCAGGCACGACAGTGGGCTCCGAGTCAACTGGCATGACCGCGGGCACTGGGTCAGACATTGGATCGTCTGGCCCGACAGCGGGCATCGGGGTCACCAGGCATCAGGTCATTTGGCTCGACAGCGGGCACCGCGTCATCTGGCAAGGCAGTGGGCACCGAGTCACCAGGCACAACAGTGGGTTCCGAGTCAACTGGCATGACCACGGGCACTGGGTCAGACATTGGATCGTCTGGCTCGACAGCGGACATCGGGTCACCAGGCATCAGGTCATTTGGCTCGACGGCAGGCACCGCGTCATCTGGCAAGGCAGTGGGCACCGAGTCACCAGGCACGACAGTGGGCTCTGAGTCAATTGGCACGACAACGGGCACCGGGTCATCAGGTACCGGATCGTCTGGATCGACAGCGGGCACCGGGTCATCTGGCGTTGGATCGTCTGGCTCGACAGCGGGCATCGGGTCACCAGGCATGACAGTGGGCACCGAGTCACCAGGCACGACAGTGGGTTCCGAGTCAACTGGCATGACCACGGGCACTGGGTCAGACATTGGATCGTGTCTGGCCCGACAGCGGGCATCGGGTCACCAGGCATGGACAGAGCGGGCACTGGGTCATCAGGCATGGGATTGTCTGGCTCGACAGCGGGCATCGGTGTCACCAGGTATGGCAGCGGGCACTGGGTCACCAGGCATCAGGCATGGGTGGTCACGACATTGGATCGTCTTTTTGGACAGCTCGCCAGCGGGCACCACGTGGATCTGGCAAGCGGTGCACTGGGCCGCGGGGCAGTGGGGATAGGCTGGTGTTGAGACGGTCGGGCTCGCCACCAGGCACGACAGTAGTCACTCCAGGCACGACAGTGGGCTCCGAGTCAACTGGCATGACCGCGGGCACTGGGTCAGACATTGGATCGTCTGGCCCGACAGCGGGCATCGGGTCACCAGGCATCAGGTCATTTGGCTCGACAGCGGGCACCGCGTCATCTGGCAAGGCAGTGGGCACCGAGTCACCAGGCACAACAGTGGGCTCTGAGTCAATTGGCACGACAGCGGGCACCGGGTCATCTGGCGCTGGATCGTCTGGCTCGACAGCGGGCATCGGGTCACCAGGCATGACAGCGGGCACACTGGTTCATCAGGCATTGGATCGTCTGGCTCGACAGTGGGCATCGGGTCACCAGGTATGACCGCGGGCACTGGGTCATCAGGCATTGGATCGTCTGGCTCGACAGCGGGCACTGGGTCATCAGGCGTGATAGGATCATCAGGCTGGATCAGTTCATCAGGCTGGGTACAGGCATCAGGCTGGGTACAGGCATCAGGCTAGGTACAGGCATCAGGCTGAAGTGCGGGTGCCGAGGCACCAGGCTGAACCACGGAAGGCAGGTTCTCAGACGGCAGGCTCACGGTTTGGATACTGGCAGGATGGTATTGGTTGGAAAGAATTTCCGCTTTTTTCTGGTTTTAACTACTGGGGCACTGCAAGTAAACGCAGGTCTGCAAATGAATGGAGCAGCTGAGGACAGAGAAGAGCTGGAAGATGGAACAGAGGAGGGAGCAGTTGCTACAGAGGACTTCTTTACAGGGTTAAAGAAAGGATAGGTGCAGCGAGTGGGAGCAGGGGACTGGTATGTGGTAGTTAGAGTATACTGGGCAGTCACTGGGGGTGCTGTCGGGGATGCAGGAAGAGTGCCTTGAGTGGAGGAATGATGTTGTAAGCTGACTGAGGCTGGGTGCAACAAGTCTGACCATGTCTGCAGTATGGTTGAACAAAGCTCAGTTTACACAAAGCCTGTCTGGTCAATGACTGCACTGCGTTTATACAATCTCTTAGTACGTGTGGTGAACATGCAGAATAACGCTCCAGAAAGTAATCCACATCATCCTCTAATAACCATACCAGGGACTCTACCTGGTCGGCACTAAATGGCGGCAAAAATTCATCCCTGCATTCGGGGGGTACCAGATGAAACCAACTCAGCACAAACAATCAATGGCTGCACCTCAGAGAACTCTGTGCCCTGATCTACTCTAGGCAATGAGCGATCCTTATACACTCTAGTAGTTGATCCCTGGGATACTCCTTCAGAGTTTGATAAGCATACTCTCAGTCATCAAACACTAGCAGAGATAAATACACAACCTCATCAAGATCCATCCTTCCCAGCAACAAGCCAAGATGGCTTCCCTGTGCAGCCACTTCTGGTCAGGATTGGCCTTGGTGTAATGTCAGGGCTCCGGGGTGTGACCAGAGGTATGTGACTGACGCAGGGAAACGCAGGCTTCAGATAAGTTATAAACAATATAATTTATTAAAGACTAACAATACAAACATAAACGCAGTGCAATACTAAAACATAACACAGTGCAAACGAACCAAACCAAACCACCCACAGATAACAGTACATACAATGCAAGCGTCGTCAGGCAGGCCGGGTCAATAACAATCGGGCAGGTAGGTACAGGGGGTCAGGCAGAGAATGGTCGGGGTCACTAGCCAGGGATGAAACAGGAGAAGTCAGCAGAGGTCCGGATCAGGCAGGGTCAGCAACGAATCAGACAGAGACAGGAACAGGAACAGGAACAGGAATGCAGGAACAAGATACAGGGCCCAGGAAAAACACACACACCAAGGCCGAGACTGCAGGTCTGGCCATCCCTTAAATACACCTGTATAATCAACTTCAGGTGTTTGGCTGGCTGCAGGGTTGAGTCTCTGATTGCTGGGAGCACCTGCTGGCCAGCCCTGGTACTGCAGCCCACAAGGCAGGTGAGTCCCACCATTACTGGCAAGTCCATTCCTGACAGTATCACTGATGATAAGAAAGGTGAGGAATCAGCCCAGAACTACAAGGGAGGAGCTGGTCAATGACATGAAGAGAGCTGGGACCACAGTTTCAAAGGTCACTGTCGGTAGAACACTATGCCGTCATGGTTTCAAATCATGCATTGCACGGAAGGTTCCCCTGCTCAAGTCATCACTTGTCCAGGCCTGTCTGAATTTTGCCAATGACCATCTGGATGATCCAGAGGAGGCATGGGAGAAAGTCATGTGGTCAGATGAGACCAAGTAGAACTATTTGGTCTAAACTTCACTCGTTGTGTTTGGAGGAAAAAGAAGGATGAGTTGCATCCCAAGAACACCATCCCTACTGTGAAGCATGAGGGTGGTAACATCATGCTTTTGGGGGTGCTTTTCTGTGAAGGGGACAGGACTACTGCACTGTATTAAGGAGAGGATGAATGGGGCCATTTATTGTGAGATTTTGAGCAACAACCTTCTTCCCTCAGTCAGAGCATTGAAGATGGGTCGTGGCTGGGTCTTCCAACATGACAACAACCCTAAGCACACAGCCAGGATAACCAAGAAGTGGCTCCGTAAGAAGCATATCAAGGTTCTGGAGTGGCCTAGGCAGTCTCCAGACCTAAATCCAATAGAACATCTTTGGAGGGAGCTGAAACTCCGTGTTGCTCAGCGACAGCCCCGAAACCTAACAGATCTAGAGGAGATCTGTGTGGAGGAGTGGGCCAAAAAAATGTTTATCTTGGAAGCTCAAGCGTAAACTTGGAATCTGCCGCTTGGTACCCTCTCATCTGCAAACAGGAGATCTGCAACCTGGAATTGTGTCACTCACCCCTTGTACCTGTTCCTTTTTCTCTCTCATTTCAGCACTTAATAACAACCCTCCCACATTGGAAAACAGATAGCAATACACAGCACCATTTAAAATAAGTTTCTATCTTTCTATCCAAGGCCTGAATGGAGACTTTCTATGCTTGTCTGTATTGAGTGGAAAATAATTTACTTGACCACAAGATGGCAAACTGATAAAACCCCTTGCTGTGCCTTCATATTTGCTTAGGTAATATTGCATATCAGTGTGCGTAAAGCTCAACTCTATGCTAAATATGTATTTTTAAAATTGTGTTCTAGGTGTTAAGACTGGCCATACGATATACAATTTTCATGAGAAATTTGCTTTGGATTTATCAAAAACCGTATAATATGAGGTCAAACCTAAGCAACACTTTCAATTGTATCCAATTAGGCAGGCCATTGCGCTGCATAGTTGAAGGTAAATCTAAAGGAAATTGGGCAGAAATGGGACAGAAAATGATATAGTGTATGTCCAGCCTAAGGGGACAGAACCTCTGGCTGCAATACTCCACTTCAATTTGGAGCTGTGCCCTGTACCTCTTTTTGGCCACAAGATATCCCCAGTCTTCCAGGTTAATTATTGCCTAAAGTCACTCAGCCCTAAATATAATCCCAAATTGTGGGTGCAGGGAGATGGAAGGAGTAGGGGCCAGGAGCTGTGCTTTAAAGTGGAACCAAACAAATGTGCCACAAAATTGCAAGCCGGCAGTTTTTTGTTCAGAAGAGCTTTGCAATGCCTCTTCTCCAATAAAACAAATTTACAAATGATTATACAATACCCACGTTCAACCGCCAACTCAACTTCCCATGGCTGAAGGTCGGTGCTCTGGCAAAGGTGTTCCCACACTTAGGCAAAGTAGTCCATAACAGAAATAAGCTGGAACTCGGTGCGATCCATAAAACCGAGAATCTTTATTGGCCACATATATAATCGCATTATTAATACGCTAACATGTTTTGTTTATAACATCCTATGAGGAAGGCTGTGATAGCTGAAACATGTTAGTCTACTATTAATGTTTTTATATTTATCTAATAAAGATTCTCAGTTTTATGGATCGTACCTAGTTCCGGGTTATTTCTATTATGGAAAACAAACTCACCTCTCTGTTCACAATCTTCTATTGAATGTACAGTTCAGCGTGTATTCTAGGCATGGTGCCTGTGTCCCGGAAGAAACAACATCACACCCATCTGATATGACAAATCAAGATGGCTGGAGACCAACACCAGGAAGCAGCCCGGGGAGAAGATGTCAGTGCCCAGTGACGGATCACTTCCGGTCTGTAGGACACAGAAGAGTCCCGAACACACTGTAATGCACGCTTAGCTTGCGTTACCAAGCACATTTTTTTGTGTGTTTTTAATGGTTTGAATCTCTACTAATAAAGTGGTAATACACTATTTGGAGTAAATTTTTTAATATGTTTTAGGGTTTCACCGATACCAATAACAGTATCAGTATTCGTACAAATGCTCTGATACCTGAAGTTGATACCTTCAGGCTTGGTTCTTTCAACTGTCAGCAGGGAATTCTGTAAATTTTAAAAATGTAAAAACAAAAAAACGTTGGCAATTGCCGTTTGTTAAGGAGCAGGCCACTGCATCCTAAAAGTGGTTGTAAAAGCGGAAGGTTTTTTACCTTCATGTAATGTATGCATGAAGGTGAAAAAACCTTCTCTGTGCAGATATACCTCCCCCCCAAGCACCCCTAATAATCACCTAAGCCCCCTCTCAATCTCAGGACTCCCTCTGCTCATTGGCTGATATAGCAGCAGGAGCTATTGGCTCCCGCTAGTGTCAATCACAGCCAGTGAGCCAATGAGAAAAGAGAGGAAATGGACACATGGAGCAGCAGCTGGGGAGTGCTCATGCTCAGGTGCCCCCATAGCAAGCTGCTTCCTGTGGGGGCACATGATAGGAGGGAGGGGCAAGGAGCGTCGGCGGGGGACCTGAGAGGAGGAGGATCTGGGCTGCTCTGTGCAAAACCACTACACAGAGCAGGTAAGTATAGACATTTTTTTTAAATTTTTTTATTTAAGCATTTTAACAATGTCTCAATCGGTTGTCAGCAGGCAACATACATACAGACCTCTCCCCCGTCAGTGATACTCGGCGGGGAATCACCCGGAGATCAACAGCTGAGGCTGCCAATGGCGGCTCACCCCATCAGTTTCCTCACGTATGACCGATTTACTAACAGACATATCATACTGGATGTCACACCACTTCCTAAAACTCAATCTAATATTTCCTCCCCCACGTGCCTCTTCCTCTGATTTCTTGGGCAGGATCAATAGCACCACTATCAAACGATACATGCATGCCAGGGTACTAGGTGTAACCCTGAATTCTGAACCATTCTTTCAGGTCCACATCCAATCTCTGTCCAAATCATTCCACCTCAACATCCGCAACATCTCCAGAATACGCCCCTTCTTAACCAATGATGCCACAAAGCTCTTAATTCACTCCCTGGTTATCTCTCACCTTGACTACTGCAACTCCCTCCTCATTGACTTACCTTTACATAGGCTATCCCCCTCCAGTCCATAATGAATACTGTTGCCAGGCTCATCCACATTACCAACCGCTCAGTGTCTGCTACCCCTCTCTGCCAATCCCTCCACTGGCTTCCACTCACCCAACGAATACAATTCAAAATACTAACAACAACTTACAAAGCCATCCACAACTCTGCCCCCAGCTAC